CATCAACATTAAAACAATATAGAAGCATATATTGTCGCATCATCCATTGTTAGTTGGACTTTGTAACTTTGCCCATTGAATTATGTGAAATTATAAATTGTCTTGCATATTTTTATAATATTCAAATATTAAAAAAAATATATAAGATAAATGTATGTAATATGATGGTGAATACGTAATCTAAGTTTTTCTATTTTTTTAAAATTTGTTTTGGGGATTTTGACCCTTTTTTTTAAAAAATAAAATGTATTTGACTGGTTAATCCGGTTAACCGCTCTAGTTAGTCCGGTTCCGGTTCGAATCGCTCCCAGCCTCATGACCGGTTAACTGTTCAGGTTCGATTTTACGAACATTGATTTGACCCGAGCTTAATGTTACTTCTTCAAACATACCCATGTCTACTTTAGCCATGGAGATTATAGACGACTATATCCAAGTCCTTTTCTTTCTATTTTCCTTATTTTTTTGTTCAATGTTCTTTTAAGTCTTTTTTTTTTTTTGGTCAACGTTAACTTATTACCAATTCAAAGTTACATGTAATAATACCTTTGGACAGGAAGCTCCTAACATACCCATGTCTACTTTAGCCATGGAAATTATAGACTACTATATCCAAGTCCTTTTCTTTCTATTTTCCTTATTTTTTTGGTCAATGTTCTTTTAAACTTTTTTTCTTTTTTTTTTGTTGGGTCAACGTTAACTTATTACCAAATCAAAGTTACATGTAATAATACCTTTGGATAGGAAACTCCATAATACAAACGAAACCAGTACAAGGACTACGATGCAATGAAATGTAGATGGTACTTTTTCTGTTCAAAATATAATAAAGAGAAAATTATATAAAAATATGTTATACTTTGCGATATTATCGATATATCAAATAGTTTTTGTTATTTGTATGTCTGTTTTTTATTTTTTATAACGTAATTTTTAAAAAAGATTATTTTACCCTTTTTCGAATGTTGAACATCTGAATTGCTGAGATTTTTGGATGTTCATCATCCGAAAATAGGCCTAAAGTTAAACGTTAAATTTTTTATTTTCGGATGCTAAACATCCGAAATTAAGGAATTTTTGGATGTTGAACATCTGAAAATACCCCAATAGTTTAACATTAAGTATAACATTTTCAGATGTTGAACATCCGAATTTAAGAGATTTTCAGATGTTCAACATCCGAAAACAGAAAAGATGAAGGTTTATTTAACTATCAGGGTATTTTCGGATGTTGAATATCCTAAAATCTCTTAAATTCGAATGTTCAACATCCGAAAATGTTATACTTAATGTTAAACTATCGGGGTATTTTTGGATGTTGAACATCCGAAAATTCCTTAATTTCGGATATTCAACATTCGAAATTAGGAAATTTAACATTTAACTTTCGCCCTTTTTCGGATGTTAAACATCCGAAAGAGGGTAAAGTGGTCTTTTTAAAAAAAGTGCGTTATAAAAGGTAAAAAACGGACATACATATAATAACAAAAACTATTTAATATATTCGTAATAATGCAAAGTATAACGGATTTTTATATAATTTTTCCTAAAATAAATTTTTAAGATGTGTATATGTTATCAAACAATCAATGCCATTGATTCTAATAGATATAATGATTATTAACCATTAGATCTTTCCATTCTACTTACTAAAGCAAAAATAATAATGTCTCCTTGCATGCAAGAAATTATGATTAATTTTTTAATATTGTGAATTTCCTTAAATTTTATTTTCCATTAGAAGAAGAAATAAACTTTCACAAAAATTTTGAGCTTTTAATTACAATATTTTTTAAATTTTGAGCTTTTAATTACAATATTTTTACTTAACAATGTTTTTTGCCATTTTAAAAATAAGAATTCATCAAATAAATTGTCCTTATATAAGAAAATCCTAATGGATAGAAGGGAAAAATATCATTCAAGTGGTGAAAAGTCAAAACCCCTTACAAAAAGTATTAAGGGGATCAAACAGCCCAATTAAATTATGGATGTACATATAAATTCTCAATTTACACAAATACCTCCTCAAAAATCCTTAAAACTTAAATGGTCTCTATTTAGAGTTAGAAATCTTAAACAAACAGGGGACTTTCAAAAATTTGACCCACCGTGAACAAGCAGGTGTACTCTCATTATTTGGTTGATGTAGGTGGATCAAAATACCTAAATGGTCCCTACTTCTTTAGGCTTTACACCCTAAATAGGGGCAATTTGGGTATTTCAGACAATATTTTTTGAGGAGATATATAAGGGGCATAAAAATTGAAACGTACACTTCCTAGTGGTTATTATTTTGTTTTAACGAGTGTTTGCAAAATTGACCCAGAACGGTTAATTAGACATGGGGTTGGAAGCAGTTTAACCAATCTAACTGGTAAACCGGTCGATTCAATCGTTCTAACCGGACAAGTCTCGAATGGTCAAAAAATTATTAAAAAAATACAAAAAATCTACTAAAATATGAAAAACATATAAAGAATGATTAAAACAAAATACATTCAAATGAAGTCGAAAATTAATAACAAAAATGGATTTTAAAGAATCGATGCCTTGGTGTATGTTTAAATTTTTCCAAAAAATATGTACAAATATAAAAGTGAGTATTAAAACAATTTATAATCTTTACTATAATGTAAAAAAATATTAGAAAATGTATTACAAACTAAATTCATTAATTTTTTAATTCTACATACAGTTTTTGAGTTTTTTTAAAGTACCGACCGATCACTAAAACCGCCTTAAACCGGAACCGTCCAGTGGCCGGTTCCGATCTAACCAGGCGGTTACCGGTTAGATTGCTTGGTTTTTCCAACATAGGTTTTGACTCACTCAATGATTGCCTGGTTAGATTGTCTGGTTTTTCCAACATAGGTTTTGTACTCCTTTCTATTTATTTTTCAATACGGGGAACTTAGAGTTTTTTAAATAAGAAAAATATCTTCATATTTCTTATTTTTAGGTTTCATATCTTAATAAACCCAAAGTTTCAAAAGATATTTTCTAACTCATGGCCACTTTAAACCTATTTTTTAATCTAAATAAATATGAGAAAGACATGTTCTTTCTAAACCAATCAATTCTTTCTTCACTTATATATCACAAACTTCTCTCTTTCTCTCTCTTCCTATATCTCTCACTCTTCTCTCCTCCCATGTTTTTCCAAACACCACTCTCTCTTCTTCCAATAATTACATGTTTTGCTTTCAGATAGTTTGTTTCGATCTGAATTACAAGATTTAGAAAAGAACATCACATATTCTCGCATGAGCACATTGTGTACTCACTCCTTCACAGTGATTTTCTTAACAAATTTGAGATCCACTCTAAAATCTACAGATGGTTATGTAAAATAAAAGAAAATTGTGAGTTCTTCAATGCTTAAATCTGCCGGCCCCAAAGTTCGACAGTCTCTGTTCAATTTTAAGACCATAATTTTTTCAAAGTTCAAACATATATGGGGTACATTCGATAGCTAGACTCTGGAAGTTCCTTAGAACCCAGAAGTTCTAGTTCTTTATGAGTTGGAATTGTTGTGGATATCTAGAAGCTTTAAAATACTTGTTTGGGTATCAATCTGGAAGTTCTCGAATAAAGTGATCAAGGTTCACAGTGTTCTAATAAGGTTTTACAGATTTCAGGCTTCATGGCTTCATAGAAAACGAGCAAAAGAGAGAGAGAGTTCCAAAAGAAGGAGCTCAACAAGCTAAAGAAAAATTTAGGGAGAGAAAAAAAGAGAGCAATGGCGAGAAGAGAAAGAAGACAGTAGAATGTCGAGAGTGGCAAGGGTTGCAAGGGCCAGGAGAGAGAAAGAGCTTGAGAAGAGGGAGTGAGAGCTCCAGGAGAGAAGAAAAAGTGCCAAAATTCAAGGAGAGAGAAAAATAGCAAATGCGAGGTGACAGAAGAAAGAGGAATGGCGACAGCAAGGAAAGAGAAGAGAGAGTGATTGGACTTGCAAGAAGAGATCAAAATAAGAGGGTTAAACCAAACATGCTTTCATATAAAAGCGAGCTTCCATGGGGGTTGGAAGTTGCATGTTCTCATTTTTCTGAGAATCTAGAACTTCCTAACACCAGTTTCCTATAACACCTCTTGTTAACAAAAAACGAACTTCTCACCTCTAGAATTTAACAAAGAACTTTCATCTCTAGAGTTGGAAGTTGATGTTATCAAACATGCCCAGAGAGTACTTGGCAAATTCAGTGGGTGGTACAAGGTTGAGAAGGTTACACACCCAAATCTCAGCTCGTAAAAATATTCTTAGAGAGTTTTGCTAAAGCAGTGTTTAAGAAAATCAACTCAGCCAAGGTACTCCGGTTTTGGCCAAGGCAAGTTATTTGGCTCAATTCATGTCATATTATAAAAAAATAAAAAAAATAAAAAATAAACAAAAAAAGAAAGAAAGAAATAAGGTATATATATACGTGGGTGCAATTGGCATACGGATCCATCCATAGCTGTAGAGGTAAGATGCACCTTCAAATTTTATCACGGTGCATAATTAAAATCTTCTTAAGATTATTTCAAAATCTATTTTTATATCTAAGTATAAAATTTTAAATTTAAAAAATGGTTAAAATCAAGTAGATCTATAAACATATGAAAATCTTGAAAATGGACCACGTAGATAATATGTTGTAAAATGCACTATTTCTGAGATGTAAAATCTTTTTCTTTTTCATGGTCATACATCTTGATGTCAAGAAGATCAATCAAAGGGTTTTTCAACATTAAAATTACATTTTCCAATGGATTTTCGAGGTGCATCCGTAGTTCTCCATTATAAGGTTGCATCCTTGTATAAACTTTTTCCTATATATATATAATAAGATATATACTCTTCATGGGTATTGGTAAAAGAATAAGATCATCACCGCAGCTGGGAATACATAATATATATAAAAAATGGGTACATAGTACTAGGTGTCGCCAACAGGCCGACTCCGAGTCTCCTCGGCCGAGTCCAAAAACATTGTGCTGAAGCGGGTGAAAGGAGGATATGCTGAAAAAATTATTGTCTTTGAAAATATAAATTTATTGTTTGATCCGTTTGGGCCGTGCATCACGGATGTATGCCATCTATCAAGGAACCCATTTCCTAGCACGGTGCAACAGAGAAACACTTTGAACACGAATAAAGAGAATTATTTACAATGTCTTAACCACACATGCAGATGAGCCTTAGATTTCCATGGAGGAGCTATCATGTACGGATACAACAACAACTTGTTCTTTGAAATAGAATCAAGGGTCAGCTTGGCCTGCGAACCCCTCATCGCTCGATGCGTATTCTTCATCACTCAATTCTTCATCGCTGCTTTTCTCGTCCGGGTTGACCCCAACATGTTCTGGTTTTGCATATTTCTCCTTATATTCTGGATAAAAAATTTCAGAAAACAAGGAAAAAAGAAAATTTAAGAAATGGATGGGTTGTGAGATTTGTTAGTTACAAGAGAAGCCAACTAGCTGAATGAATCAAGATCATGCAAAAGGTAACTGAAAAGACCTCAATCACTTACTAATGACAATGAGAGCAAATAAATCATCAAACTGGAACTGGTAAAATTATTTATTCCGTACACGAGATCTGCTCAAACCATAATAACTTCATATGTATTTTTAACGAACATGTACACCAATCTAAATGTGAGCAACATAAAACACATTTTCACTTTCTTAAATAAAAGAAGAACCACTTTTTTTAGCTGTTAGAAGTTTGCTGATAACAAACTTAGATACTGATAAGGAATCATTTAAGAGTGATCTGGCCAATAATTTTACGGCAAATATGGAAGGAAAAAGAATAGCAGGACATTTGATGGTGTTGGGTTGGTCCTGATTGTCTTGAAGTCAAAAACTTGGACAATGTAGCCAAGTGGGCAAGTGTATCTAATGGTTGTTTTGGTATTTTGAGAAGTGACATCTTTTGCAATTATAGAGAGGCCTTCGGGCACAACAAGGCCACCAGATGGTCCCTCTTCCTGTGGGCTCAATTAAAATCAACTTTGATGATTGTTTTTTGGGAATCCGGTTCATGCAGGTGTAGGGATAAATATTATTAAAGATCACAATGGGACCCCTTCTCAAGCCATTGTGTTAGTACCACTGCTGATGTCCCGAGTTGAGGTCACTACTTCAGGGATTTGGACTGCTTCCACCACACCAGCAAGTTCTTTTTAAGCGTGATTCATTGAATGCTCATGCAGAGGTGAAACAAGACCACAATGGCACCTTCACCAGATTTTATGTGAAATCAAAGATTTAACAAGCACATAAGTGTTGTAGTTCACACATATTTATAGAGAACCAATGGTGAAGCTGATGCTCTAAGCATGGAGTCTTCAAAACAATTTTGGTAGTCAACAGATTTTGATTCATAATTGGGGAGTTGTTGATGTCCAGTAATTTTGGGACTATCTTTCTCCATAAATGTAGCTCATACATTCAGACATGTAAATCTTCTTTAGATTAAGGGAAAGTCATTAGTTAATACTCACTCAAAAAAAAAGAACAATGATAATGACTAAGGTAATAAAATCACAGGCCTGAATTTCAAAAAAAATTAAATAAAAATCACGGGACTGGCGTGACAACAAAAGTTTGCGAGTTGCTTTGGGAGCTCTGATAGAGCAATGGAGTTATGCATATTTATCTAGCTCTGTGTATATCGACAATCTATTTCTCAAAGAGAGAGAGAAACAAGCAATTCCAAAAGGATTGATAGAAGATTGCCAGTGTAAATTATGGTAGTTACAAAGAAAAATCTTCACACTTGAAGGAGGCCATAGAAGAACTCGGAATAGAAAACATATATAAGCAGAAGAATACATTCCCTTGAACAAAGTAGCTTCTCAGGAATGGAAACCAATTTAGTATCTACGAAGCCTCCAATTTAGTTTCCAAGGAACAAGAATGAAAGAAATCCATATTGCTCTCCTCTCCCCCTCCTCTCTCTCTATTTTCTCCGTAAGCAATGAACAGTGTGATGGAGAGCAACCTGCCATCTCTCCCTCGCCATCTGCTCTCTCTCTCTCTC